GGTCTTTTCCCTATTGCACTGTTAGATTTTGTGCTACTGAGTTACTTACATTCTATGTATTGATCCCATTGCAGATGTATAGGTTTCCAGACATAATCTCCCATTTCATTGTTATGTTCCCAATAGTTTCCTTTGCTATGTGTTTTCCTCGTTTGATATCATCTTATTTGTTTATTTAAAAAATTTTTCTCTATGCTTTTTGTGTCAGATCTATAAAATAACTTACAAAACCAACACTGAAGAGTTTTTCCTGCTTCCTCCTAGAATGTTTATTGGTTTCAGGGCATATATTTAAGCTTCTACTGTTTTTGTACCTAATGTAAGTATGGATTCAGTCTCATTCTTTGCACGTGGCTATCCACTTCTTGTGCCTTTATTGGATAAACTACCATGTGTATTGTATATTCGTAGTACTGCTCTCCAAACTTAGTTGACTATATATGTGTGCATTTATTTCTAGCCTTTCCAATTTTAAGAGGGTTTATGTGTATGTTTATATACAAATTATTTCGTTCATGCAAATTTTTATTATAGTATGAAATCAGGGAATATGATATCTCCAGATTTATTTTTTCTTTTTTATTTCATTTTCTTTTATTTTTAAATTTAATTTATTTATATATTTATTTATTAGAATTTATTCACTTTATATCCCCGCTACAGCCCCTTCCCTTATCTCCTCCCAGTCACACCCACTCTTCTTCTTCTTCCCCTATGCCTTTTCCTTAGTCCCCTGATAGGGGAGGACCTCCTCCCCTTCTATCTGACCCTAGCTTATCATATCTCATCAAGGCTGGCTGTATTCATCTTCCTCTGTGGCCTATCAAGGCTGCACCCCCCAGAGGGAGGTGATCAAAGAGCCAGCCACTGAGTTCATGTCAGAGACAGCTGCAGTACCCCTTACTAGGAAACCCACTTGGAACCTGAACAGCCAACAGGCATACTTTGAACAGGGGGTCTAGGTCCTCTCTATGCATGGTCCTTGTTTGGATTATTGGTCTCTTCAAGCCACCCTGGGCCCAGGTATTTTGGCTCTGTTGTTCTCCTTGTGGAGTCCAACATCATTAGTCATTCAAGAAATGCAAACCCAAAGGACCCTGAAATTTCATCTCACACTCATCAGAATGGCTAAGATCAAAAACTCCAGGGATAATGCATGCTGGAGAGGATGTGGAGAAAGGGGAACCCTCCTCCATTGCTCTTGGGAATGTATCCTTGTATAACCACCTTGAAAATCATTCTGGCACTTTCTTGGAAAATTAGAAATAGTGCTACCTCAAGATCCAGCTATATCACTCCTAGGCATATCCCCAAAAGATGCCCCACCATTCAGTAAAGACATTTGTTCAACTATGGTCAAACAAGCTTTATTTGTAATACCCAGATTTATTTTTTAAAATATTTTTCTGATGATTCCATATCCTCTAATAGTTTCATGTGAACCTAGAATTGTCTTTCTATTTTAGTGAAAAAAATGTCATCAGAATCTTCATAGAAATTACATCGAATAGTAGAAACTTTTGGGTGGTGTATGGACATTTTAACTGTTCATTTATTTGATGCATGGGTACAAGATTTTTTTTTCATTTATTCATCTTCAAACTGTACATTTTTGTGTGTAGTTATTTTATTTCTTTGGCTAAATATTTCAATGTGTTATTGTTCATTTGAGTCCTTTAAAGATGAAATTATTCTCCTCATTTCTTTACTGATCTTTTGCTGTTAGTGTACAGACACATGGCTGGTTTTGAATGTTGATTTTTCTATTCACCCACTTCACTCACATTTTTAGTTCAAACAGTTTGTGATTGTTCGGTGTTTCTAAATATGCAATCATGTCAAATAAAAGCAGACAATATAATTTCTCTGCCTTTTATTTATTTTCCTTGCCTAATTTCTTTGGCCATACATCTATATTGTTGAATAGAAGTGATGAGAATATGCATCCTTGTCTTGCTCCTGTGGAGAAAAACTGAGCGTTCTCCACTGAGTGTAAGGTAGTCTGTGAACATGTCATGTATCAGTTAATTCTGTTAATGTGCGTTCCTCCTAACCCCATATGTCAGGGATGGGCCACCTATACAGCTGTATGTGCCACACATGCTAGGTATAGAGCAAACTCACGCGGAGATAGATTTCACAGAATGTGGCCTCAGAGTTAAGTAGCACATGAATCTATACCTAATCTGTGGAGGGTTTTCTTTTTAATATGAAAGGATGCAAAAGTGTTTTCACACCTACTGAGGTCGTTATTAGTATCACCCTTCATTTTTTAATTATTGTATTATCTCCATGTATCCCATGGATAACAACTTCAAGCCTTCTACATGCTGCCAATTTGCTAAGAATAATTACACCTACGTTTATTGGGAATACTTTCTGTAACATTTATTTATTTTTGTCTAACCTTGACCTCAGTAATGCTATCATATAAACTGAACCCAGATGTGTTTCCTTCTGAATATCTGGGAGTGTCTGGGAAGGGATGACTGAAATCCCTCTTTCTGACTTGGTGTCAGTCCCTGTTCATCTGCATCATGAGGTTTCTGACCAGCGACTCAGTCATTTACTTACTCCTGTTCTATTCAGACTGCTTTCTAGCTCGTTCTTGGTGGACTGTGTGTTTCTAGGAGTGTACCTGCTCATCCCAGATGCCTTATTCTTGCTTGTAATGTTTTCTGAAATTCTCTGTGGTATGCATTGTAATGTTTCATTTCTTATATGTAGCTTTATTGATTTGCATCATTTTGTCACCAAAACGATAAAATGGTTAATCTTTTCTTTACCTTGGTGGTGATTTGCATTCTTTCTGTTGTCTGTATATTACCTCTTTTAATTCTGATCTCCTTTCTCATGCTGAGTTTAAGCTTCATTGCTTTTAGAGTTCCTTGAGATTCACAGTTAGCTTCTTGGTGGAAAGCTCTCTTTTGTTTTAATATGGGAGGTTCTGCTATAGACTTATTCTGGCCCTCTCCCCTCATCCTGTGTGCACTGGTATGTTCGTTTCTATTTTCATCTGTCTTTAGATCCCATTTCATTCTGTTCTTCATTTCTTCTTTGACACTTGACATTCTGGAGCATGGTGTTTAATCTCCACATTTGTAATTTCTCTAGAATTCCTTCTGTTATTCAGTTCTAGATTTTTTTGAGTTCAAAAGTGGTACTTGTAGTATCACCACAGGAACAGTCTTTTCCAAACTTTCTAATAGCCAGGCGACGTGTTCAATTACTCCATAGATGCTTATTTGTAACACCCTACATATGATACCCAAAGTCTTTCAAGATGGATTTTTACTTCTAATTACTATAGCAGAAGAAAAATGAAATTTCTATTTAACAGGTTATTATTCAAATTTTTAAAGATGTAATGTGGCTTTTCTATCTGTGGGTAGAAAATCTCTAGGGAATATTTTATATTCATTATATCAAAGTATGACTTGCTTCAAATTGAGCTCATGGAAAAGGAACAGGCATTTTCTGAGAAATATAATGTGCAGAAATTACACATTTTGCAATTGAAAGAGACTTCCAGGAAGATTCATATTACTTATTTTGAGGTGCCAATTATTAAAAGTTGTTGTGTATAAATCACACACCTTCCCTCGAGGTGCGGGAATGGACGAGGGAGCAGGAAGACTGTAAGAGCAGTGTGTGGCTAACTTCAAGGAAATCCTTTTCTACACACAATAAGGCAGTTAACATGTGTTAAGCTCGCATCAGTTTTGACAGCATGCACAAGAGCTGCACAAGCTCAAGCCAGACAAAACCCCATGTGGAGGAGTGGGATGGGTGGGGATGGAATCTCAGCCCAGCTGAGGAGTTATGACATTGGCAGTTGCTGAATGAGGAGAGTGCGTTTTCATTAATGATGTGACCTCCATGGCAGGCCCTGCTCCCAACGGTAGTTAGGCTACATATATTGAGGTCAGTGTTTGGGCGTTCTTTAAAAACATAAATAAAAAAAAAAAAGAGAACTTTAGTCATGTAGGGAGGGAGGAAGGGGTGGATTTCGGGAGGTGACTATGATTAAAAAAAAATACTGTGTGAAGTTCTCAAAGAATTAATAAAACATTAGTTTAAAAATGTTAGTGAGCAAAATGCCAAGTGGGAATGTATTCTGTGGTTTTATTCCACATCCATGTTTTTCTTGTTCCCCTCCCTCTCTTCCCCACTCCTTCTTCCCCTCCTTTTTCCATTTATTTTTCTCCCTTCATTTCTTTCTTTCTTTCTAATTAAATTCATTTCAGAAAAATATGTCTTCCTTCATGAAGTTTTAAGTGATATCCAGGTGACAACAGAAGCCCAATATTAGTTTGGGCAATTTTCTTCTAGATTAAGTCTCATCATGCAACTTTCAAGATGACTTTTTATGTTAATATTAAAACTAATTTGATTACTTTATTTTATAGAAAGTCTAATTTCCACAAATACTAAATTCTAAGTATAACTACTAGTAATTTACAAGTGTTAGGAAGACTTGTGAGAAAAGAACAGTTTTTCTTATTGTACAACAAAGAATGTGTAGTACAGGATGGGAAATGGGCCTGAAGCAACAGGCCTTCCACGCTCTGTATTTTATTTGGAAATAAGATAGCTGTGGTCAGGTTAGAGAGGCCAGTAGAATCCAGGAAACTGCTCACCTTTTCCCAAGTACCTAATGTATTTCCATACTCCTGTCCCCGGACCTCAGTTAAATGAGTGAGTGTAATAGAAACAGTATACAGTGTTCTCTTCAAAATACTAACTATACGAACCAAGGTTGTTTGTAATAATTTTGTTCTTAACATTTCTTTCATAATCATCACCACGATGTTCTTCAGGGATGTCTTGGAAGAGATTCTGTTATAATTTATTAACTGCTTTTTTTTAAAGAAAGCACCCAACTGATGTCTTTTGGAGGCTACACTTTAGGGTGGGTATTATAGACACTAGTACAATGGAGACAGCCAGCACCTGTTAGCATCCGTATCTTTGTGTGATACGTGCTTTGTTCATTGCAGGACTGTCCTCTTCACCCTGACTTCCGTGGTGGTACTGGTCATCACAACCGACTGGATCAGCTGGGACAAACTGAATCGCGGATTCTTGCCCAGTGATGAGGTTTCCAGAGCTTTCCTTGCTTCTTTCATCTTGGTCTTTGACCTCCTCATTGTGATGCAGGTAAGTGTCTGTGTTTCCCTCCTCTCTCCGAAGCTGCTCTATGCTTTGTTCTTGGTATACGAATGGGCTCCACACATCTGAGAAGAACTTAGTTGTGATTAATGGGGCTTTCTCTAATCATTTCATCAGCAATTTCACTGGACAGAAAAGACAACTGTTTGTTTTGTTTTGTTCCTTATTGGTGTATGTGAGAGAATTCATTTCATGAACATTGTTAGGCAGGGCCTGGAAATAATGCAGCATTATTATTATTGTTATTAGGCAGGGATTGTGCAGAAAGCAAAACAAGGTGGAAATTTGTCTTTTGGTGACACTCTTGCTCAAAGGTGAAAACGATAGAAAGCCAGCAAAGCAGAAAAGCAATAGTCAAAGCAACGCGAGCAAGGGTTGTAGCAGTTGAAATGGAGTAAAGTGAAGGTGCTTTTCTGGTTATGAAAATGATCATTTCCAGTGTTCACCAGAGACACTGCCGTTTCATGTAAACAGTGTTTCCGTCCTGCTTAGCAATAGATATTTTTGTAAGAGATCATCACTGGTATTGAGTGTTACTAGTGATGGCTGCTGGGGCGAGTGTCTGGAGTGTAGGAGTGTTCTTTTCAAAGAGACAGAAAGAGACATTTGCTGTTTCTTGGTGCTTTATCTTGCTCATTAAATGTCTATCCATTTGCTAGACATTTTCTTATTGCTTTCATAAGGCAATTTTGTACCTCCCCACCCCCAAGGCACCATAAGTCATGAGAACAATGGCTGGTGCTGCCAAAGGGAGAGGAGACTCCATTGTGTTCTGAATTTATGTGAGATTTTGCAGGATAGCAGATTGGTTTTTTGTTTCTAGAGGCAAAGAGGGGCCTTTAGGAGAGCTATTGTATTGTTGAAAAGCAGAACAATAGTGTTTTGTTTTGTTACATATCCTGGGCATTGGTTTCAATGTGGTACTTACAATGTATCACTGCTTCTAATGGGTTGTATTTTAAAATACATTACAGTTTAAAACTATCTGAAGACATAAGCTTGAAAACTTTTATCTCTTCTGGAAACTGATATATTTCTTTTTCATTTTCTGCAAGATACTTTTTCATAGAGGAGGGCATGAGGTCAGAGACCATTGGTGGGCTCCAGTTCTGTATCCCATTAGCTGTGGGACCTCCTCTACAGAGTTCCAATTTGAGCTTGTAGCAATTATGCAATAATATATCACGCATTACTTGTATCAAGTCCATTTTATCTTATTCTGTTTCCTAATATTCCTTCTGATGATAAATTCGCACTCTCGCTAAATGGCCCACTGGCACTTCTCTGACCCCATTTTAGAGTCAAAGGTATTAGCAGCCAAATAGACTATTATCTCTTTTGATTTGTTCGGATTTCTGTGCTGAAGATTACTCCTTCATCAACTGACACTGCAACCCTTTTCTCTCTCCCTGCTTCTGAAAATTTTAAGTATTCTTCCAAATACATTCACTAAAGCCAAGGACTCCCAGTGGGGAAAAAAACACATGATATTAGAATGTATACAAATTATAGATTCATTTAAAATGTACCCAATAAAGACAAACAGAAGAAAGCAAAGACAGGATTTATATGCACAGACACAGCAGTATTAGAACAGAAAAGCCATTCTAGACTTTTTTTGACCCATAAAAATGTAGAGTTTGTAAAATGCTGACATGCTCAGAGTAGCCAGAGACCAGCTGACAAGAAGAAGAGTCTGTGCTGAGGAATAATTCAATTTCAGCTATGTTGGCCACAAATAATACAAAGCCTGCCAGTGCAGTTTTATCAAAGGGTGAAGGTATTTCTGAAGTACAGGGACACCCTGAACATTGCAAATGGAAGGATGTAGCTGTCTCTAGAAAGTAGAGACTGGAGTTAACTGAAAACTCAGATCTAGTCTTTATTCTTCACCTCTCATCTCTGTTCCCTTTTGCTTTGTGTTAAGTTTTCCTCCTATGGCAAAGCAGCTTTTATTTTTTTCCCCTAATTTTTCAGTTTATAAGGAAAGAAAGGGTCATTGTTGTCACCTCTGAGGGTGACCACTGTTTAGTTCTCATTCTGTGTTGATTCTCTAGGGACTTCTTAGCACCAATCCTTGAGTGACTTGTCAGTGTGGGATACTGGAGAACCAGGGATAGAGATGAGGTCTGAAAGAAGAGAGGAAATTGGGTCCTGAAAACCCAAACTAGAGGTCTTTAGGAAAAGGAAGAGGCTTTGCAGCAAATCTCTAGAAGTAGAACTCTCCGATCCTTTGCTCTGTGCTCAAACTCCATGTCCCAGTCACGTCAGTCAACGAGGTTGACAGATGAATCCTCCATCTCTGGCGTCCCAACCCTTCCTTCTCATTTCTCTGCTATTACCCCTGTATGGACTCCCCTCTATATCATTAAAAAAAGCATACCAATGGGTTCTTCTTCTCCTTCTTCTTCTTCTTCTCCTCCTCCTCCTCCTCCTCCCCCCCTCCTCCTCCTCCTTCTTCTTGCCTTCTGCCCTGGATTTCATAATCTCCCAACCAGGAAGCACATGTTGTGTTTTATAGACCTCTTCTCAGCCACATTGTCAGCAGCTCTTCCTGATCCCCAAATGAAGTTCCTAATCCACCTCTCGGCCCCCTCCACTGTGTGGTGCTGGCTGTGTTTCCTGTGTCCCATCACACCCCACACCAAAGTTCGTAGATCTTTATCCCCGTGTGCTCATTCCCACAATGGCCTCTTTCTCCTGGCCAGACTGTGTCTTCCCTGCTCTACTGGACCCTGAAGAGGATCGCAGTCCCACTTCTGGAAAGCATATTAGCACACCCTCATGGCCCTTCCAAAGTACCTCTTGCAAGACTGCAGGCCAGCATGCCCCCTTTTCCTTACTCTTACGGTCCTTGCACTCCCTGCTGTACTGGCTTCAGAGCACAGAGGTAGCCCATAATACTTGCTTGGTGAGGAGAGACAAGTAGAAATTCGGGTCTGAGTCTTGGGCTAACTGTGGTCCTCTGTGGGCATCCCAAGTTTTGGACCCAGCACAAGTGGGAATGGAAGATCAGGAAATGATCTCAGAATGCATACGCACTTAAGACATTTGAAAAAAAAAGCATGCAAATATCTTAACAAGTTCATGGCCAACCAAACAGTGAGCCAATTCATGCTGTGGTCACATTTCAGATGAAAAAAAAGTGGAACAGTGGTAAAATCAGGGGAAATGGAAAGGGTGCTTTCATTAAGAGCTCTAGCCTTTTAGAGCATTTAAATGATTGAAAAGCAATTTACATTCAGCTTTTCTAATGACAGGAGACTGCCATTTGTACTACAGAAAAGTAGTGCCACATTTGAATAAAAAATTAAATACAGCATTAGATTTTTCTTCCTGGTGCCTTGAGTGGAAGCCAGGGCTAGTATATGATAAGTATGGGTTCTACCCCAAGCTCACCTCAGCTCTAGGAATTTGATACTATTTATATTAAGATTTTATTTTATTTATTAAATTTATTTAGTTAGTTATTCACTTTACATCCCAATCATAGCACCCTCTTTCCTCTCCCCCAAGTCCCTCCTCTCCTTCCTTGTTCCCCTTCCCTTCTCCCACCTGTCCCATCCAGCTCATCCAGTCGAAGCAGGACTGAGCACTTCCTTTTTCACAGTGTTCTGGCAAGGCAGTCCCACCAGGGGGGAAGTGATCAAAAAGCATGCAACTGATTTTTAAGAAAATTAGTAGAACATGTATACATCTTTTAGAGGAATATAATTATTTTGTGTATATTCCTGAAATGGGATTTTTCTCTATTTATTGTTGTTTCACATTTTTTCTTTGGTTTTAGTTAAGTAATTGGAAATAAGACAAAAACAGATTCCAGGAAATGATGTATGACTGATAAGATCAATGTGTAATAGAACACAAGTAAATTTTAGAGAAAATATCTCTCTTAAAATTTTATCCCACATTCTATCCAGTGTTCCTAGTGATGTCATTCGATTTTTATCCTTTCCCCTAAGTCATTGTCTAACTATTCAGTTTGCAGCGCGCACCACACCACTCACTCTTTCTGATCAGTTGATAAAAGGTGAATCTAAGACATAAAAGAGTTAGGGCAGATTGGGAAATAAACATGTAGAAAGTGTCAAACGAAATCACAAGAGAAAGGTAAATGAGGACAAGAGTAGGTGAGACTCAACCGGGAACCAGCCACCAGACCAAGTTCTCCAGGGCAGCAATAAGCCATCCAGGTAAGATCTGCTCTGTTCAGGTTGGACAGGAAACATAAGAATCCCTAGTGTGTATCTGGGGAGAGAAGACACAGGAAATGGGGTTTAAGGTCCCACGGATGTAGTCTGCAGAGACTATGGTATGTGGTGGGGTGTATGGTTTAATAGGCGTACAAGTGGAGGAGTGCTTAATTTGAGGGGAGATTGCCATTATTTGGGATTATTTGCATAGAAAGTTCTCATCAGTACTCTTCACTTTCCAAATCCTTCGCTGACCCTCTTTCAGGCATTTCTGCATCCTACCTGAAGGCTGAGAGGAGAGAAAACTCATCTTTATAAAATAAGGGATATTTTGTGCCTTTTTTAACTAGACAAAAAAAAGGAAGGGGGGGGGTAGGAGAAGAAAGGAGGCAGGAAGAAGAGGAGGAGGAGGAAGAAGAAGAAGAAAAAGATGAAGAATAAGGTGTGTAAAGAGCCAAAAAGCAGGAGTAATAAGTAGAATTCTCCAGTCTCTATGGAGAGTAGTGACAGGACAGGAGCAGAACTGGGCAGTGATGGGATCATGAGGCTTGATGGAGTGTGTCCATTCTTCAGTTTCCATGCATTCTTCATCACTCATAGATGCTTTACATAACTGGACTCCAGAGAATTGGTAATAGAGAATATTATAGACTATTACGTTGCTTAACTGAAAAGATGTAGTAACAACTGCTTACCAGGAACACAGAAAGCAGAGGAAGCCTTGGGCAAGTACCTGTGAGTGTATCAGTAGGTACAGGAGCATGTTATATGTATATGTTATGTGTATACAGATTG